CCTTCTTCACCACTCCACCATGGTGGCTCCGGTCTCAATCAGGACCCTCTAGCAAGTGAGCTTGGGTGAAACTGCGCACGATTGTGGATTCCACATTGACACCGATGAGGAACAAACCGGAAGTCCCTCGTTTTTGATCATGGAGTCTGAGCATCTTTTAAAATCAGCCTGCCTTTCATGGACTTCGGTCTGTTTTTCCAGAACTTTATTCTGCTACTTTTGAAGAGGTTTCAAAGTCTCAGAGAAGAACACAAGCAGGGCCTGTCAAGTATCCTTTTAAAAACACCTGTCGGGATTCCGGCACTTAACCCCATTTAAATCTTTCTAGGCCTTTTAGAGTTGCCAGCACCCAGATTAGGGACCAATACCATGATTAGTAGGATACAAAAATGAGGAGGGGTTTCAGCTGTATTACAGTGGCCACCATCTTGGGTTTTTTGGGCTCTCCTGCAACAGAAAGTTCCACAGTTTAACTAAAAACAATGTTAAAAAAGAATCCTTCAGTGTTCCATATTGCTTTTAATTTCGTTTATTTTAGTTTCATTCTGTCATGATGGGAAATAGGAAACCTTCTCTCCACAATATCTATGCATGCCCAATTGTAGAGATCTCTACAGATAATCTTCAACTTATGACAGATTCTTAGCGACTGTTCAAAATGACAACCTGACTGAGAAAGGGGATTCATTGGAACATGTACTTTGAATGTGTTCCTCAAATTGTATGAATTAAACGTTTAATTTGGTCGCTAGCCATCTCTGTTTTGGAAGCCTTTCTGGGTTAGCATGCTAATTAAAATGGTTTTAATGAGCAGCTGGTGAACTGCACTCTGTTATTTAAATATGAGTAAGTGTTCATTTGAAGTACTGAAAGAAAATGTAAAGTGCTTTGCAGTATTGAAATCCTGACCACTTATGTTTATCCATCATTAAAAGCAACTGAACACACAGGAATATCTCATATTTTTGCCCATGTAAGAGACAGAAAACTTGCAAAGAGGTTTGTGTCTGTCTTCCAGAGTGATCACTGTGGTTTGATTTTCATAGTATTTTTTTTTTTATAAAATACTGATTTAACGATTCAAACACAAGAAAAATCGCATTAAGCCAAATGCAAGACATCTAAGGAACCAAATCAATGGACAGTGTTGGGCTTCAGGGTTTAGCGATCATGGTCTCGATCAGTGGTTCACAAGAACATTTTGGTGGTCTGCAGAAAAATTATTTGCATTTTTTATATTGCACTAAATCAGGGAAACTACGGCCCCTGGGGAGGATACGTGCAATTAATTTTCGTGTTGCTGCAGAGAGTCTCCCCCTTTGGGGTCTTTTTGTGCGGGCAGTAGGGGGACAGAAATTCTAACTTGGGGTCTGCTTCAGCCTCCTGGTGTGGAGCTTTGGCAAAGGCTGGAGAGAAGTGCCACTGGTGATGAAGAGCCGGACAGCCTTGTTCTGACCATCTCAGCCTGCTCAGCGTCGAGGCGCTGGTACCTGGCCTTTCACTCCTGCAGGTCTTCCCTCTGCTTGAAAAGCCTATGCTCGTAGTCCTCAGTGAGGTGCTTCTGCTGAGCCTCCTTCTCGGTCAGATCCAATTAGAACCGAGCCAGCTCTTTTGCCAACTCTTTCTCGTGGTGGTTGCTTAGTTCCAACAACTGTTTCCCGTTGGGACCCTAAGGAGCCCAGGCGGGCAGGCGAGGAGTGGCTGGGATGGGAGAGATGAGTAGAGGCTGGAGAGGTGCCCCTCGACATGAGTGACACCAAGTTGGCCATGCCCACCCAGACACATGATCACCTATCTATGCCCACCCAGCCAGTCATTAGGCAGATCATATTAGTGGTCCACGAGATTTAAAATTATGAATTTAGTGGTCCCTGAAGTCTGAAAGGTTGGTGACCCTGATGTTTTCATGGACAACTATGGCTGACAGCTTCAAAGGGTGAGGGTTAGGGTGAGGAGCAAGCACAGGCCAGATTCCTGTCTTTATAGCCCAGTGCCCTGACTTCTGATTGGCTGTTAGTTGAACTGGTTTTCTGCTGGTTTGTGATTGGTTCTTTGGGTCTGATTCTGTTTGGTCATTTTGATGGAATTGGTTTCAAACAGCACCATCAAAACAACCATTGGATAAAATTTTCAAAAATCTCTTCTCTAGACCATGTTCGCTAAACCCTGAAGCTCAACACTACCCAACAGATATTAGATGTAAAAGCCTACATCAGTCTACTAAACCGGATAAAGATAGTCTTCAATTGATGAACGATCACTTAGCTAGAGTCCAAAGTTTTGACCTACCTGGAAAATGGGAGTTGCAACCTGATTTTGAAATTCATTCCATTCCACTCAACTCCGTTCCATTCCTTCTTGTTTTGCTTAATGACAGCTACAAAAAAGATCATAAAATTGGGTTGGTTGCATGCAATGGTGGGATTCCATTTTTTTTTTTACTACTGGTTCTGTGGGCGTGGCTTGGTGGGCATGGCAGGGAAAGGATACTGTAAAATCTCCAGTCAGAGGTGGGATTTGCCGGTTCTCCGAACTACTCAAAATTTCCGCTACTGGTTCTCCAGAACTGGTCAGAACCTGCTGAATACCCATCTCTGGTTGCGTGACTGATACATTTTATGATTCTCATATAACTGTAATTGACAGGCTCCATTATGGTTGTATGTTACTGCCTGTAGTCTTCCTCTGTTTATCTGTATCTGTTTCTCTCTTTTATTTTTGCTTGCTGTGTTTTTTCTATTGTGATTCTTTTGGATTGAAAGATGCCACATTGCCAACAGTGGGCCACAATGGATGCAGCAGTCATCAATGCCCCATAAATGGGGCTACAGTGTCCTCAGTTTTCTCTCCTGGGTTTTAGAATTGGGTTACGGGGTGGGATTTGTTCCCATAGTCTTATTTGAAGACTTATATTGCAATTCTCATAATGTTTCCTCTACAAATTGTCAGAAATCTGGGCCAGTACCTTTGGGAAATGAATTAAATTTGGAAGGGAGATGTAAAGATATGACTTTGGGAAACAGGAGGAAGAGTTGTAGACCAGACAATGGTCAACTGAGTTTGCAGAAGGAATGGGGCTATGACAAAATTTCAGAAGGGACTCTCTCTAGTTTCTTCAGCTGTAAAGAATCGCAAGATTCTAGTAATGTAACCGTACAATAAAATATAAAATAAATAGTTCATCTGTGTGTACTTCCCATACCCAAGAATACAGCTGCGATGACAAATCTATACCATGCATGCTGGAAGTGGCATGCAGAGCCATCTCTCCGGGCACAACCAGCCATCCCCTATTGCTCTTCTGTGTTCTGGCAGGTGCATGAGCGCTGGCCAGTTGGTCTTGCCCGTGTGGGAGCACCAGAAACCAGAAGAGCAGCTCCCTGAAGCGCATACGCACACTGGCCAGCTGGTATTCACACATGCATCTGTGTTAGAAACCAAAAGACCAGGTCTCCAGTACACATGTGAATGCCGAGAATCTAAGTTTCCGGTTTCTGGTGCCCCTGCACATGTTTGTCAGGGAGCTGTTCTTCTGATTTTCTTTTATTTATTTATTTATTTTTTTGGTTTTTAAAACAAACATAAACAAACAAAACATAAAAACATCAAATCATCTTCCATATATGTACATACAGTGTGCCGGTTGGTTTACAAATTGTTTTGTGCTTCCACTTCTTTTTTTTTTTTTTTTTTTAAAGCATCAGCTCTCCCGTATTTATATACAAACAGTGAGTCGGTTGGTTCATCAGTTTTGTGCATTCATTTCGTAGTCACAATTACAATTACCTTATATAATAACTCTTATTGTCAATGCAAACTTATATATCATCATATCATTATTAAAGAAAAAGAGATTTGACTATACTTTTATTCAATCATGCCTTATGAGATAACTATATTTTAAATAATTTATTCTATAACAAATCATATAGTCGTACCAGTTCTATCCTAAATAAAAGAAAAAAAGAAAAGAAAAGCCATTATATAAATATAATATCAAATACCGAAAAAAAGAAAAGAAAAGAAAAGTGAAATCAATATTATTCCTTATTGTCTAACATTCTAAATATTCTATTTTTGTATTTCATCATTCAGCCATTGATAGAAAAGATCCCAAATTATATAAAATTGTTTATCTTCTTGCTCTCTAATTTCAAAAGTCAATCTACTCATCTCAGCACATTCCAATATTTTCTTTATAACTTCTTCCTGCAATGGAATTTTCTCATTTTTCCAATTTTTTTCAAATACAATCCTAGCCGCAGTTAATACATTTACAATCAAATATTTCGACTCTTTACTATAAACATCTGGTAAGATTCCCAATAAGAAAGCTCCGGTTTCAAGTCTATATGCTTCTTTGTCATTTTTTCCAACCACATGCGGATTTTAGTCCAATATTTTCTAGCCTCCTCACAAGTCCACCACATATGGTAGTATGAACCAGGTTTCTGATGACATTTCCAACATTTTTCGGATTTGTTCTTGAACATTCTTGCTATCCTTGTCGGGGGGAAATGCCACCTGTAAAACATCTTATACAAGTTTTCTTTATAGGCTGTAGACATTGTCATTTTATAGTTTTGCAACCATAATTTCTGCCATTTCTCTAAGTCAATCCCATATCCAAAATTCCTCCCCCAGGCAATCATAGTTTCTTTAACTTGTTCTTCCTCTAGCTTAATTTCCAATAAGTAACCATATAATTTTTTAATCACCTTTTCATCAGTACCCATCAAAATCTTATCATAAAATCCCTCTGTTTTGGAATCCTCATCATACCTTGAGTGTATTTGCAAATATGAAAACCAATTCATCTGTATACCTTGTTCCTCTAATTTTTGTATCGATTTAAGTTCACCCTTTTCATCTAGTAATTCCCCATATCTAACTGTTTGTTCCTTTTTATAGATTATAGGATAAGAAAAAGCTTCTATCGTCGATAACCAAACTGGAATTTTCAAATAACATTGTTTTTTTATCTTCTCCCAGTTTAGCCACAAAGACTCCCGTATATAATGTCTTCTAAAATAGCCCTGTGTTTTGGTTCCCTTATACCATAGAAAAGCATGCCAACCCAACAGCAAATCATCACCTTCTAGTGTCAACAATCTAAAAAAATCTTTTTTTTTTCATTTCATAGTCTTCAATTATAATTACGTTGTATATAATCTCGTATTTTCAATCAATATATTAAATACATTAATATCATTATTAATCAATCATTTGACTATACTTTTATTCATTCATGTTTTGCAAAATGATCATATTTTACTTAATTTGTTTTATAACAATTCGTATCATCATCCCTGATCTATCCTAGAATCATTTTGTAGATATAATTAGAAAAGAATACATCTTTATATATTTATTATTTTCTAAAAGTCTACATATTTCATTACTATATTTTATTGTCTAACCATTGATAGAATAGATCCCAAATTTTATAAAATATTTTATCATCTTGTTCTCTAATTTCAAATGTTAATTTACTCATTTCAGCACATTCCAATATTTTCTTAATGATTTCCTCCTGTGATGGTATTTTCTCATTTTTCCAGTTTTTAGCAAATACAATCCTAGCCACTGTTAATACATTTACAATCAGGTATTTCAAGTCTTTACTATATATTTCAGGTAAAATTCCCAATAAAAATATTTCTGGTTTCAAATCTATATTCTTTTTTGTCATTTTTATCAACCACGTGTGGATTTTAGTCCAGTATTTTTTAGCATCCACACAGCCCGCCTTTACGGATCTATTCAAGCCACACCAATTCAACTCCCTGTTATTCAAGGCCAAGAACATTTCAGGCCTAAGTAATATGGTAATATGAGCCAGGTATCTGGTGACATTTCCAGCATTTTTCGGATTTATTCTTGAACATTCTTGCTATTCTTGTCAGGGGAAAGTGCCACCTGTAAAACATCTTATACAAATTTTCTTTATATGCTGTTGACATTGTCACTTTATAATTTTGAGACCACAATTTTTGCCATTTCTCAAGATCAATCCCATATCCAAAATTCTTCCCCCAAGCAATCATAGTTTCTTTAACTTGTTCTTCTTCTAGTTTAATTTCTAATAAATATCCATATAATTTTTAATCACCTTTGCATCAGTACCTTTCAAAATCTTATCTAAGTCAGTCAGTTTATCATAGAAACCTTCTGTTTTAGAATCTTTATCATACCTTGAATGTATTTGCGCATATGAAAACCAATTCATCTTTATATCTTGTTCCTCTAGTTTTTGTATAGATTTAAGTTCACCCTTTTCATTCAATATTTCACCATATCTAACTGTCTGTTCCTTTTTGAATATTATAGGATAAGAAAATGCTTCAATAGTCGATAGCCAGACTGGAATTTTCAAATAACATTGTCTTTTAATCTTCTCCCAATTTAACCACAGAGACTCCCATATATAATGTCTTCTAAAGTACTCCTGTGTTTTAGTTCCTTAGTTTATACCATAAAAAAGCATGCCACCCCAACAACAGGTCATGTCCTTCTAATGTCAACAATCTAGTATTTCTTAATGTTATCCATTCTTTAACCCACATCAAATTTGTAGCTTGGTAATACAACTCCCAATTAGGGAAACCAAATCCTCCTCTTATTCTAGCATCTTGCAAAAGTTTTAACTTTATTCTCGCTTTCTTACCTTGCCATATATATTTCAACACAATTTTATTTAAATCTTCAAAGTAGCCTTTTCCAAGCCTAATTGGAATTGTTTGAAACAAATATAAAATTCTGGGTAATATATTCATCTTGATTGTTGATATTCTCCCTATTAATGACAGTTGTAAATTTTCCCATTTCGCCAAATCTAGCGCTATCTGCTGTTTAAGTTTGATATAATTATTCTCTTTTAGTGTACTGCATCTTGCTGTCAAGTATATCCCCAAGTACTTGATCTTATTTGTGACCTGAATTTTCAATAGGTCTGCCAATTCTTCCTTTTGTCTTGATAGCATATTCTTTGTCAAGATCTTTGTGTTATCGTTATTTATTTTCAAACCAGCCACCTTTCCATATGTCTCTATCTTTTCTACCAATTTTGATGCTGTTTCTAGTGGGTCTTCTAAGATAAAAACCAGATCAGCTGCAAATGCTTGCAACTTAAATTCTTCCTTTTTAATTTTCATCCCTTTTATATTCTTTTCATCTCTAATATTTCTATTTAGCACTTCCAAAGTTAACACAAACAATAGAGGTGATAGTGGGCACCCTTGTCTTGTTCCTTTTCTTATATCGATAAATTCTGTCAGTTCTCTATCATTACCTTTGCCATCTGCTTATGATATATAGCTGCTATTGCTTGAATAAATTTTCTAGCAAAACCTATCTGTTCCAGCAGTAATAACATGAATCGCCAATTCACATTGTCAAATGCCTTCTGTGCGTCTAAAAATATCAAAGCCATTTGTTTTTCGGGATGTGCCTCGTAGTATCCAAAGTGTCCAAGATTACTCTTATATTGTCTTTGATTTGTCTCTTTGGCAGAAATCCATTTTGGTCAGTATGAATAAAATTATTGAAATATTTTTTAAGTCTTTCTGCCAATATTAAAGAAAAGATTTTATAATCTGCGTTTAGTAGGGAAATAGGTCTATAGTTCTTGATTTGTAATGGATCGGCCTCCTCTTTTGGAATAAGTGTGATATAAGCTTCTGACCACGATTTAGGTATCCTCTTCTTTAACATAATAACTTCATTTAACTTCATTCATAACTTCTAGCAATGGAAAATTCAATGATTCTTGTAATGTTTTGTAAAATTCTGCCGGAAGTCCATCTGGGCCTGGTGCCTTTCCATTATTTTGTTTCTTAAGTGCTTCAGTTAACTCCATCATCGTTATATTGCTTTCTAACATTGTTTCAATCTCTTTAGGTATCTGGGGTAAATTAGCATTCTGTAAATACTGTTTAACTCTTTCCTCATCAATATTCCCTTGTGTGTATAGTTTCCCATAATAATCTTGAATAATTTCCTTCTTCTCTTTACTACCATAGCAAACTTGGCCTTGGTCATCTATTAATTGCGATATTTTCCTTGATTCTTTCTCCTTTCTCAATTTGTATGCTAACCATCTACTTGGTTTATTTGCATCTTCAAAATAGTTCTGTTTGGCACCTCTATTTTTTTGTGCTAATTCTTCTTTTTCTATTAGACCCATTTTATGTTTGGTTATATTCATTTTTAGCTTAATGTCCTTTCTCTGTGGCATTTTCTGTAGCTCTTTTTCAAGTCCTTTATACTCAACTTCTAATGCCTTAGAGGCTAATCTTTTCATGGTATTCCTTTTCCTTGTATAGTCTATTATCAAGCCTCTGGCATGTACCTTCATTGTATCCCATACATTCTGGATTGATGTATCTTCCGATTTTCAACGCCAAAAAGGTTAGCCACTACTGGAATACAGAATAACAGAGATGGAAGGGGCCTTGGAGGTCTTCTCGTCCAACCTCCTGGTCAGGCAGGGAAACCCTATATACTTTTTCAGGCAAACAGTTGTCCAGTCTCTTTTTAAAAACCTCCAGTGTTGCAGCAACCACAACTTCTAAAGGCTTCAACTTATTAATTGTTCTGTCAAGAAATTTCTTCTTAGTTCTAGGCTGGTTTCCTGTTTTGTTCTCTTGTCTATCTTGCAAGACTGATGGGGGATTTTAGAGGTCCAGAAAAAGAACTACTTTAATTATAATTGCAGTTGATTCTGAAGTTGTTCACACTTAATGCATGATAGATCCCTACTGTATATTCAGAACGACATCTCATGGTATAATTTCATTTTCTGCGAAGCAGATTGAAGGTTCAGAATCACAGATAACAGAGTCTATGATAGGCACACCTAAAGAGGCTGATCTACGCCCTAAACTTTCCGTGTTTCCCGACCACCTTAATCCTAAATATTTGTGCTATCAGGCCCAGGGAGGTAAGCCAAATAAATCTTTTGAGAGTAACGTGATAAAAGTTTGTCATTTGTGATTCGTAAGCTGATAGGAACAAAGGCGGTTATTTAACGACTTGAGTCCAGAAAGAAGACAAATTACGAAGTTGTATAAAAACATGTTTTGACTTAATAGAAGCTCGGGGAGGAGTGAATTTACACTTTCAACTCTGGGGCAGATTTATAGCATGAATAATTATTTTGAGAAGCCTTGCAAGAGTCACATTTTTGGCCAGGACACTTTTGTTTCTTGAAAGGATTATTGCTGATATTATACAACCCACCTGTCTTAACCAAGCGGAAAGTCTCGGGAAAGTTGACACAGGAAAGCTACATTTGATGGTGCGTGAAAAGAGGAGTAAAAGGTTTGCTTCCCATCAGTCGCATCCAATAGAACAGGGGTCCCCAATCCCCAGGCCATGGCCCCCTGAAAACCGGGCCACGCAAGGGTTGGGTGAGTGCGCGAGCAGCTCCATTTGCTCAAGTGGCCGGAGTAAATGGAGCTGCGCATGCGAGCAAGTGCACCTGCCACACGCACAGAGCCTCTCCCCCTGCCAATCCACAAACTGGAAAGGTTGGGGACCACTGCAGCAGAAGACATATTGATGTCGCCCTCCTCGTCCTGCAAAAATAACAGCTTTTCATCCCTTGTGATGGATGGAACTACAGCTACAAAAGCCACTGCCTTTTAATGAAATATTCAAGAAAACAGATTGCCAGCTTCCATATTTTTGATTCCCATGGACCAACACAGCTTTGTTCCTGTAATGCTATGAGTTCTTAAGTTGCACCATGGATCTATGTGTGGGCCTCTGATCTGGAAGACAAATATGTGTATATTGTATGTGTGTGGGGAAAGGATTAAAGCCCCGTATTTCAGATATTCAGATTTTATTCAAATTGTGGCCATAAGGTAAGGACTACCTGTAGAGAACATATTTCCATTTACTGGGGGACTTTCTAAAACTAAAAATTGAGCATTTTCTTAAAATCTGAAGAGCAGAGATGAATCTCTTTCCCCTTATGGATTTTGGCTGGATTTACACATTGCTCAAAACCCCAATACTGTTTCTTTGATTTAGGCTATGGGTGTTGTGTGAACTCCTGCTCTTCGGGTTTACTGAGTAAACCACAGTTAGGCAAACAATAGCATAACCACCGTGTGAGAATTCAGTCTTTGTTTCATTCCCATTGTGGTCTCTCTGGATAAGCCACTCCAGGTTTTTTTTAGGTTTGCAAGGTGCAGTAATGTCAATAGAGATTATGGTGACTCTGCTAATAAACAAACTAGTTTCCAGCATAAGATAAAGGAGCCTGATATCACCTTTTCTACCTAAAAAAATATTAAAAGGCATAAATGTTGAAGCAAATTTTTTTTGGTACTTTGCACTGTTGTTGGAAACAAAGAGACAGCCAATGCAAAAAAATTCAAAAATGCAGTAATCAATTGGCTATACAGCATAACTGAGCTGCAAACATATGAACACACACATTAAACGGTTCTGGAAAAAAATAGTAGAATGTCATCATAAAATGGAATTGTGACTCTTCAAAATTGGCCGGTCAGGAAGCAGACACCATAAAAACTACTGGAAGTTTCAGAATGGCAATGGTGTATAGATAGTCCTCAGCTTAGGACTACATTTGAGCCCAAGATTTCTGTTGCTAAGTGAAATATATGTTGTGAATTTTGCCCCATTTTACAGCCTTTCTTTCCAGAGTTGTTAAATGAACCATTGCAGTTTGTTAAGTTAGTAACACGGTTGTTAAGTGAATCTGGCTTCCCCATTGACTTTGATTGTCAGAAGTTCGCAAAAGGGGATCACCTGACCTTGGGGCATTGAAACTGTCATAAATGTGAGTCAGTTGCCAAGCCTTTGCATTTTGATCACGTGACCATGGGGATGCTGCAATGGTCATGCATGCTACTGGTTTGGAACGGTTCGGTCAAACTGGTAGTAAAAAAAAAACCTCTGAGGATCAGCTGAGAGGACAAAGAAGAGAAAAGTGCAGGATCGTCCCTCCCACCCACCCGTACGCTTTTCCCTTCTTTGTCCTCTCAGCTGACTGGCGCTGTACACGCGCGTGAGATCACCGAACCAGTAGCAGAACAGATAGGATCCCACTGCTGGTCGTAAGGGTGAACACTAATCCTAAGTCCTTTTTTCCAGTGTTGTCGTAATTTCGAACCATCACTAAACAAAATGTTGTAAGTCGAGGACTACCTGTATTGTAAAAGGGTATAAAAGAAAGCCGAAAGCCTACCTGAGAGCCTTTCCCCCACTTCTTATACTTATATAAGAGAATCAAGGCAGGCCAGACTTGAGTTTCTTTCTCCCCCTTCCTTGTCTATCCGGGCTACACTAATGTTTTCGTAAGTGCTGCTTTTGTACCTTCTTCAAGCCACTATCTGTGGCCTTCTACAGGGGTGGAGGATCCTTGAGGTATTGTGCCGCATCTCAAGATCCCTGTGAAACTGAACCCCCGTCCTTTCCAAATATGCACACTTAACACACTTAAATGTCACAACACACTTAAAGGGGTAGAGCTTCAATAAAAGTCTGCTTTGACCACCTTGATTTCTTTTGAACCACTTCCTCTCCGTAAATCTTCCCTGCTCTGTTTTTTTTTTTTTCCTGGATTGCATGGTGATTACCCTGGTTGATGCATGCTGCTGTGAATGAAAATACGGATTGCTTAATGAACATGTGTTATATCCCTTTGCAAATCCAAGTCTGCGCTCATAGCTTTAGTCCTATGTGTACACTTGCAACGTCTGGGTGTATGTATCTAAAGCAATGTCACATGGGAAATAGCCCGAGGGAAGCCTAATCTTGTGTTGCCAATTTCAGTTTTTAAAGTTGGGATCACGCTGTGATTATTTGTGCAAAAACATGACCTTTGGCTTTGTTTCTAAGAAAAAGAATATTATTGCAGGATTGCATGAACTACTGAAGTGGCATATGTTAACACTGCGGAGAACTCCAAAGAAATGTTGTAAAAACCCTTATTCTGGATGAAACCTTGATTCTTCTATGCAGGATTGCTTCAGGATTGAGAGAATGTTGTGCAATATTAATAGCTGGAATTTAGCTGCTTCTGATAGCTATTCAGTTCCCAAACTTCTGACTTTAATTTAATTTCAGAACATCAATTTCCCAAGAAGTTCCAAAGCTACAGGTAGTCCTCAACTTAAAACTTTTCATTTAGCAAACGTTCAAAGTTACATGGACAGTGAAAAAAAAAAAAGACTTACAACAAATCCTCACACTTATGACTATCACAGCATTCCCACGGTCATGTAATCAAAATTCAGGTGCTTGAATACATATATTTACAAAAGTTGTAGCATCCTGGGGTCATGTGATCACCACTTGTGACCTCCCCAGCCAATGTCTGACAAGCAAAATCAGTGGAAGAAGCTGAAATCCACTGAACAACCATGTTAACAACTTAACTGCAGTGATTTGCGTAACAGTCATGATAAGAAAGATTGTAAAATTAGGTGCGACTCAACGACTATCTTGCTTAACAATGAAAATTGTGGTCGTAAGTCAAGGACAAGCTGTATAATTATTTTTGAGCAGGTGGGTCTATGGCAGGCTTCCAGAAGGAGCATACATTTTCAGTGCCAGACATTCTTTACCTTGGATCCCTCGGCTCTGTTTTTTTTCATTAAACAGGTTATACAGCCTGGAGGGAGGGAAGGACATCCGCATATTGTAAAACATAACAGTATTTTTTTTTAAAAAAGTAAACTTTGCTAAGCAGTTCTTGGAAAAGCTTTCTGTTTAAATTTATCAGCCTTAGATTTGTCCCAACAATTAAATGCACACTGACTGTAATTAGGGGGGGAGGTGTACCCCAAAATTGTTCAAACCTGTTGGCAGCGTCTTTCCCAAGTAGAATAACAGAGTTGGGAGGGACCTTGGATGGCTCCCAGTTCAATTCCCTCCCCAGGCAGGAAACCCTATACCAGGGATGTCAAACTTGATTTCATTGAGGGCTGCATCAGGATTGTGTTTGACCTGGGGGGGGTGGAGGGGGTGGCCCTGGTGGGTGTGGCCAGCTCAATTCACTTGTGTTGGGGGCACCCTTGAGGGGCTGGCAGGGATCCACTTTTGCTGGTAGTTTGTTTTCCTAGCACTCTGCCAGCGAAAACGGAGCTTGGGGCCCCAGGCTCCATTTTTGGCTGTGATAGCCTTCTGTAACATTTGCCAGCAAAAAGGGCCACTGCATGCGTCCCTCCCGAGCTCTGTTTTCACTGCCAGAGGCACCACTGGTTGGTCCTTCACTGTTTTCAGGCCAGTCCTATGGGCTAGATCCAGGGATGGGATTCTACTAGTTTGCAACTATTCGCTAGAACTGGTTATTAACATTCTAAGCAGTTCGGAGAACCGGTTGTTAGAAGAAATTACTGGCCTAATCCTGTAAGGAAGACAGGAAGGAAACATTCTGGTGTTGCTTACGTTAACCCTTATTACATTCTTGGCAGGACTAGACTTCCTCTGGAACTTCTGTGGAGTTTTTTTTCTCTCCTTTGCTGGTACTTTGCTTGTATGGAGTGACCATTCAAAGTTACAATGGCACTGAAAAAAGTGACTTATGGCCATTTTTCACACTTACGACTGTTGCAGCATCCCCACAGTCATGAGTGGCCAGGTGAGGAGATGCGTGCCTCGATGTGAGTGATATTGAGTTGGCCACACCCAGCCAGTCACATGACCACCAAGCCACACCCGCCAACTAAGCCATGCCCACAGAACCGGTTGTTAAAAAATTTGAATCCCATCCCTGGCTAGATCTAAGCACCCCGCAGCCCAGATCTGGCCCCCGGGCCTTGAGTTTGACACCCCTGCCCTACACCATTTCAGAAAAATAGCTGCCCAATCTCTTTAAAACCCTCCAGTATTGGAGCATCCACAACTTCTGGAGGCAACTTGTTCCACTGATTAATTGTTCTAACTGTCAGGAAATTTCTCCTTAGTTCTAACTTGCTTCTCTTCTTAATTCCACCCATTGCTTCTTGTCCTGCCCTTAGGGACTTTGGAGAATAGCTTGACTCCCTCTTCTTTGGGGCAGCCCCTGAGATATTGGAACACTGTTATCATGTCTCCCCTGGTCCTTCTTTTCTCTAGACTAGCCATACCTACTTCCTGCAACGGTTCTTCATATGTTTTAGCCTCCAGTCCCCTAATCAGGTAGTCCTCTACTTACAACCATTTTCTTAATGACTGTCCAGACTCCAGTTTATTTCAGGACTGAAAAAAGTGCCTTACAACTGGTCCTTGGACTTATAATCATCATAGCATCCCCAGGGTCATATCATCAAAATCTGAGTGCTTGGCAACTGGCATGTACTTATAATTTTTGCCGCATCCTGTGGTTAACGTGATTGCCAGTTGTGACTTCCCAAATTGACTTCCAAAGAGAAAAGTCAATGCGGGAAGCTGG